TCCTTCCCGCCCATCCAGCCCCATCCCCTACCCCACCACCAAACACCCTCATTGACTGCACGGGAGAACGGAATTCCCCAGCATGCCTGATCTGCAAAGTTGCAACAAAGGGGGAATTCAACCCTACACATGTTAAAAACCCCCCTTTACGAGCAGCGAAAGGGCCCTCACCGATTTCCCGTTTTTACAAAAGCGGGTAAAGGAAAACCCCTGTGTAAAATTTTGTTCACCTTTGGGACTCATGCGTGACACCTGCCGCTTGCTCCCCGGCCCCTTTTAGGGGGCCACGCCTATTTCCCTAGTTTGGCAGGTATGGGATGAACAAAGTCCCTTCCCTGTTTTCACGCCGGAACAAATGCTGTTAAAAATGGCTGGTCAGGTGCGGTAGATGTGGCGCACTAAAGAGTCTCAACGCCACATGACCCCTGATGGGGCCATGACAGGTAAGAAGAGGAGGAGGTAGAGGAGGACATTTTGTGCTCAGGAATTATTGAGTGAAATGGGTGGTTTTTTCCACTCAAGCCGGACAGGAGTGGAGAGCAGGAGCATCTGGGAGAGGAGGAGGAGGAGGAGACAGAGGACCCAGATCGCACCGTGGCAGTATGCCTGTAGGAGATGGATGCAGGGAGACCCTCGCTGTTCCTTGGCGCACAAGTGCCCAACAGCATGCTCGGACACATTGCTTTGCGTAGGCGACAGCCGAATTAATAACCATCAGACAGAGGGATGACTTTTGGCTGTCCACCTTGTTGGACCCTTGCTATCTCGATTCCAAAATGGTGGCCTTTTTCAACAAACCTGCCTGAGAGGGAGGCCAAAATTACGACTACTATAAAAACCACCTATGTAGTCAGTTGGTCTCTGCCTTTGTGCGCCAAAACGTCCATCCTCAGACACTGTGGGCCCTGTGCGCTCGGCGGTTCCGCTGCCATCGGCAAGCAGGGGGAGGGGTGGGGTGGTATGAGCAGTGGCAGCTCCACCAGCAGCGGCTGCCTCAGTCTGCAGTCGATGATAGAGTGCTTCTCTTCACCAGACGCAGTGAGGAAGACTACTAACCAGTCCGCCAGCAGCATCAGCAGAGCATCAGGTGGACCTGGAGCAGGAGCTCAAACAACAGGCTTGGGCCTACTTGGACAGCACCCTGCCAACCGAGGTAGACAATCCCCCGTTGACTACTGGGCAACGAACGCAACTTGACCTTTGGCCCCAACTAACTGAATTTTGCCCCTTGAAAGGCTGTCATGCCCGGCCCAGTAGCGTGGCATCGAGCTGCCATGTTTTAGTGCGGCAGAGGTAATAGTAACTCCGCGGAGGACACGACTGTCCACCCAAAGTGTGGAGAGACTCACTTTGTGAAAATGAATCAGGCGTGGATTAGTCTGGATTTCAAACCACCGCTGCTGCCAAGGTCCAGAGTCTCTCATGGTCCCCTGTACGGCCTCCCATTGCTGCTGTCTCCATCGCCACACTCTGCCATGTGCCACTTTCAGGTCTCACACTCACACTGCTGTTGTGTTGAATTTTTTGACATAGGGTGCTGGCAGATTACGGGCCTCCCATAGCTGCTGCCAGGCCCTAATCTGCCATGGGCCCCCTATATACCGCCTCCTCATGCTGCTGCCAAGTCCAGAGTCTCTCATGGGTCCCTGTACGGGCCTCCCATTGCTGCTGTCTCCATCGCCACACTCTTGTGTTGAATTTTTTGACATAGGGTGCTGGCAGATTACGGGCCTCCCATAGCTGCTGCCAGGCCCCTAATCTGCCATGGGCCCCTATACCGCCTCCTCATGCTGCTGCCAAGTCCAGAGTCTCTCATGGGTCCCTGTACGGCCTCCCATTGCTGCTGCCAGGAGGCAGCAGGGTCGCAGCAGTGTCAGTGGAGGCAAACGGCCACTTTAGAGCACCAGCTCACACTGCAGCCTACCACCACGGCCAGTAGTGGTGCCGGTGTGCACGGAGGAAGTAGCAGTCAGCCAGTGAGGAGTAGCGGGGGCAAAGTTTCCTACTCTGCGCGGTGTGGGCAATTTTTCGTCAAGCCGCCCGAGGGAAGTAAACATAGCCGTATGTGTCCACTATGTGGCCAGAAAGTCAAGCGTGGCCAGGGGGCCCCATGTTGGGACTACAGCGTTGCGTCAGCATATGCAGCGTCGCCATTCGGTGGCCTGGGAAAAACCGTGATAAAGATACGGCGGTTCTGCCTGCCCCAGCCCAGGGTTCCATTTTGTCATAGGGTGCTGGCAGATTACGGGCCTCCCATAGGTGCCGCCAGGCCCCAAATCGGCCATGGGCCCCCGTACCGCCTGGTCACGCTGCTGCTGGTCCCACAGTGTGACCTGGGTCCCTGTACGGCCTCCCATTGCTTCCACTCTGCCATGTGCCACTTTGAGGTCTCCTCACACTCCTGCGGTTTTCCATTTTGACATAGGTTGCTGGCAGATTACAGGCCTTCCATAGTGCCGCCAGGCCCCAAATCGGCCATGGGCCCCCGTACCGCCTGGTCACGCTGCTGCTGGTCCCACAGTGTGACCTGGGTCCCTGTACGGCCTCCCATTGCTTCCACTCTGCCATGTGCCACTTTGAGGTCTCCTCACACTCCTGCGGTTTTCCATTTTGACATAGGTTGCTGGCAGAGCCTCCCATAGGTGCCGCCAGGCCCCAAATCGGCCATGGGCCCCCGTACCGCCTGGTCACGCTGCTGCTGGTCCCACAGTGTGACCTGGGTCCCTGTACGGCCTCCCATTGCTTCCACTCTGCCATGTGCCACTTTGAGGTCTCCTCACACTCCTGCGGTTTTCCATTTTGACATAGGTTGCTGGCAGATTACAGGCCTCCATAGGTGCCGCCAGGCCCCAAATCGGCCATGGGCCCCCGTACCGCCTGGTCACGCTGCTGCTGGTCCCACAGTGTGACCTGGGTCCCTGTACGGCCTCCCATTGCTCCCACTCTGCCATGTGCCACTTTGAGGTCTCCTCACACTCCTGCGGTTTTCCATTTTTTGACATAGGTTGCTGGCAGATTACAGGCCTCCCATAGGTGCCGCCAGGCCCCAAATCGGCCATGGGCCCCCGTACCGCCTGGTCTCACTGCTGCTGCTGCTGGTCCCACAGTGTGACCTGGGTCCCTGTACGGCCTCCCATTGCTTCCACTCTGCCATGTGCCACTTTGAGGTCTCCACACACTCCTGCGGTTTTCCATTTTGACATAGGTTGCTGGCAGATTACAGGCCTCCCATAGGTGCCGCCAGGCCCCAAATCGGCCATGGGCCCCCGTACCGCCTGGTCACGCTGCTGCTGAGTCCCCACAGTGTGACCTGGGTCCCTGTACGGCCTCCCATTGCTTCCACTCTGCCATGTGCCACTTTGAGGTCTCCTCACACTCCTGCGGTTTTCCATTTTGACATAGGTTGCTGGCAGATTACAGGCCTCCCATAGGTGCCGCCAGGCCCCAAATCGGCCATGGGCCCCCGTACCGCCTGGTCACGCTGCTGCTGAGCCCACAGTGTGACCTGGGTCCCTGTACGGCCCTCCCATTGCTTCCACTCTGCCATGTGCCACTTTGAGGTCTCCTCACACTCCTGCGGTTTTCCATTTTGTCATAGTTTGCTGGCAGATTACAGGCCTTCCATAGGTGCCGCCAGGCCCCAAATCGGCCATGGGCCCCCGTACCCCCCTGCCTGGTCACGCTGCTGCTGGTCCCACAGTGTGACCTGGGTCCCTGTACGGCCTCCCATTGCTTCCACTCTGCCATGTGCCACTTTGAGGTCTCCTCACACTCCTGCTGGTTTTCCATTTTTGTCATAGGTTGCTGGCAGATTACAGGCCTCCCATAGGTGCCGCCAGGCCCCAAATCGGCCATGGGCCCCCGTACCGCCTGGTCACGCTGCTGCTGGTCCCACAGTGTGACCTGGGTCCCTGTACGGCCTCCCATTGCTTCCACTCTGCCATGTGCCACTTTGAGGTCTCCTCACACTCCTGCGGTTTTCCATTTTGTCATAGGTTGCTGGCAGATTACAGGCCTCCCATAGGTGCCGCCAGGCCCCAAATCGGCCATGGGCCCCGTACCGCCTGGTCACGCTGCTGCTGGTCCCCACAGTGTGACCTGGGTCCCTGTACGGCCTCCCATTGCTCCCACTCTGCCATGTGCCACTTTGAGGTCTCCTCACACTCCTGTGCGGTTTTCCATTTTGTCATAGGTTGCTGGCAGATTACAGGCCTCCCATAGGTGCCCGCCAGGCCCCAAATCGGCCATGGGCCCCCCCCGTACCGCCTGGTCACGCGCTGCTGCTGAGCCCACAGTGTGACCTGGGTCCCTGGCCGGCCTCCCATTGCTTCCACTCTGCCATGTGCCACTTTGAGGTCTCCTCACACTCCTGCGGTTTTCCATTTTGTCATAGGTTGCTGGCAGATTACAGGCCTTCCATAGGTGCCGCCAGGCCCCAAATCGGCCATGGGCCCCCGTTACCGCCTGGTCACGCTGCTGCTGCTGGTCCCACAGTGTGACCTGGGTCCCTGTACGGCCTCCCATTGCTTCCCACTCTGCCATGTGCCACTTTGAGGTCTCCTCACACTCCTGCGGTTTTCTTTTGTCATAGGTTGCTGGCAGATTACAGGCCTCCCATAGGTGCCGCCAGGCCCCAAATCGGCCATGGGCCCCCCCGTACCGCCTGGTCACGCTGCTGCTGAGCCCACAGTGTGACCTGGGTCCCTGTACGGCCTCCCATTGCTTCCACTCTGCCATGTGCCACTTTGAGGTCTCCTCACACTCCTGCGGTTTTCCATTTTGTCATAGGTTGCTGGCAGATTACAGGCCTCCCATAGGTGCCGCCAGGCCCCCAAATCGGCCATGGGCCCCCGTACCGCCTGGTCACGCTGCTGCTGAGTCCCACAGTGTGACCTGGGTCCCTGTACGCCTCCCATTGCTTCCACTCTGCCATGTGCCACTTTGAGGTCTCCTCACACACTCCTGCGGTTTTCCATTTTGTCATAGGTTGCTGGCAGATTACAGGCCTCCCATAGGTGCCGCCAGGCCCCAAATCGGCCATGGGCCCCCCGTACCGCCTGGTCACGCGCTGCTGCTGGTCCCACAGTGTGACCTGGGTCCCTGTACGGCCTCCCATTGCTTCCACTCTGCCATGTGCCACTTTGAGGTCTCCTCACACACTCCTGCGGTTTTCCATTTTGACATAGGTTGCTGGCAGATTAGGCCTTCCCATAGTGTGCCGCCAGGCCCCAAATCGGCCATGGGCCCCCGTACCGCCTGGTCACGCTGCTGCTGGTCCCACAGTGTGACCTGGGTCCCTGTACGGCCTCCCATTGCTTTCCACTCTGCCATGTGCCACTTTGAGGTCTCCTCACACTCCTGCGGTTTTCCATTTTGACATAGGTTGCTGGCAGATTACAGGCCTTCCCATAGGTGCCGCCAGGCCCCAAATCGGCCATGGGCCCCCGTACCGCCTGGTCACGCTGCTGCTGCTGGTCCCACAGTGTGACCTGGGTCCCTGTACGGCCTCCCATTGCTTCCACTCTGCCATGTGCCACTTTGAGGTCTCCTCACACTCCTGCGGTTTTCCATTTTGACATAGGTTGCTGGCAGATTACAGGCCTCCCATAGGTGCCGCCAGGCCCCAAATCGGCCATGGGCCCCCCGTACCGCCTGGTCACGCTGCTGCTGAGCCCACAGTGTGACCTGGGTCCCTGTACGGCCTCCCATTGCTTCCACTCTGCCATGTGCCACTTTGAGGTCTCCTCACACTCCTGCGGTTTTCCATTTTGTCATAGGTTGCTGGCAGATTACAGGCCTTCCATAGGTGCCGCCAGGCCCCAAATCGGCCATGGGCCCCCGTACCCGCCTGGTCACTGCTGCTGCTGAGCCCACAGTGTGACCTGGGTCCCTGTACGGCCTCCCATTGCTCCCACTCTGCCATGTGCCACTTTGAGGTCTCCTCACACTCCTGCGGTTTTCCATTTTGTCATAGGTTGCTGGCAGATTACAGGCCTCCCATAGGTGCCGCCAGGCCCCAAATCGGCCATGGCCCCCCGTACCGCCTGGTCACGCTGCTGCTGCTGCTGGTCCCACAGTGTGACCTGGGTCCCTGTACGGCCTCCCATTGCTTCCACTCTGCCATGTGCCCTTTGAGGTCTCCTCACACTCCTGCGGTTTTCCATTTTGACATAGGTTGCTGGCAGATTACAGGCCTTCCATAGGTGCCGCCAGGCCCCAAATCGGCCATGGGCCCCCTTACCGCCTGGTCACGCTGCTGCTGCTGCTGGTCCCACAGTGTGACCTGGGTCCCTGTACGGCCTCCCATTGCTTCCACTCTGCCATGTGCCACTTTGAGGTCTCCTCACACTCCTGCTGGGTTTTCCATTTTTTGACATAGGTTGCTGGCAGATTACAGGCCTTCCATAGGTGCCGCCAGGCCAGGCCCCAAATCGCCCATGGGCCCCCGTACCGCCTGGTCACGCTGCTGCTGCTGGTCCCACAGTGTGACCTGGGTCCCTGTACGGCCTCCCATTGCTTCCCACTCTGCCATGTGCCACTTTGAGGTCTCCTCACACTCCTGCGGTTTTCCATTTTGACATAGGTTGCTGGCAGATTACAGGCCTCCCATAGGTGCCGCCAGGCCCCAAATCGGCCATGGGCCCCCGTACCGCCTGGTCACGCTGCTGCTGAGCCCACAGTGTGACCTGGGTCCCTGTACGGCCTCCCATTGCTTCCCACTCTGCCATGTGCCACTTTGAGGTCTCCTCACTCACACTCCTGCGTTTTTTTCCATTTTGTCATAGGTTGCTGGCAGATTACAGGCCTCCCATAGGTGCCGCCAGGCCCCAAATCGGCCATGGGCCCCCGTACCGCCTGGTCACTGCTGCTGCTGGTCCCACAGTGTGACCTGGGTCCCTGTACGGCCTCCCATTGCTTCCACTCTGCCATGTGCCACTTTGACTTGGTCTCCTCACACTCCTGCGGTTTTCCATTTTGACATAGGTTGCTGGCAGATTACAGGCCTTCCATAGGTGCCGCCAGGCCCCAAATCGGCCATGGGCCCCCGTACCTACCGCCTGGTCACGCTGCTGCTGGTCCCACAGTGTGACCTGGGTCCCTGTACGGCCTCCCATTGCTTCCACTCTGCCATGTGCCACTTTGAGGTCTCCTCACACTCCTGCGGTTTTCCATTTTTGACATAGGTTGCTGGCAGATTACAGGCCTCCCATAGGTGCCGCCAGCCCCAAATCGGCCATGGGCCCCCGTACCGCCTGGTCACGCTGCTGCTGGTCCCACAGTGTGACCTGGGTCCCTGTACGGCCTCCCCATTGCTTCCACTCTGCCATGTGCCACTTTGAGGTCTCCTCACACTCCTGCGGTTTTTCCATTTTGTCATAGGTTGCTGGCAGATTACAGGCCTCCCATAGGTGCCGCCAGGCCCCAAATCGGCCATGGGCCCCCCCCGTACCGCCTGGTCACTGCTGCTGCTGAGCCCACAGTGTGACCTGGGTCCCTGTACGGCCTCCCATTGCTCCCACTCTGCCATGTGCCACTTTTTGAGGTCTCCTCACACTCCTGCGTTTTCCATTTTTTTGACATAGGTTGCTGGCAGATTACGGGCCTCCCATAGGTGCTGCGCCAGGCCCCAAATCGGCCATGGGCCCCCCGTACCGCCTGGTCATGCTGTGCTGCGTTTTGCTTGGTCCCACAGTGTGACCTGGGTCCCTGTTACGGCCTCCCATTGCCCCCTCTCTGCCATGTGCCACTTTGTGGTCTCCTCACACTCCTGCGGGTTTTCCATTTTTGTCATAGTTGCTGGCAGATTACAGGCCTTCCATAGGTGCCGCCAGGCCCCAAATCGGCCATGGGCCCCCGTACCGCCTGGTCACGCTGCTGCTGGTCCCACAGTGTGACCTGGGTCCCTGTACGGCCTGGTACCCATTGCTTCCACTCTGCCATGTGCCACTTTGAGGTCTCCTCACACTCCTGCGGTTTTCCATTTTGTCATAGGTTGCTGGCAGATTACGGCCTCCCATAGGTGCCGCCAGGCCCCAAATCGGCCATGGGCCCCCGTATAATCATCGCTGCTGATGGGCCCCCAGTGTGACCTGGGTCCCTGTACGGCCTCCCATTGCTCCCACTCTGCCATGTGCCACTTTGAGGTCTCCTCACACTGCTGTGTTCAATTTTTTGACCTAGGGTGCTGGCAGATTACGGGCCTCCCATTGTACTGCCAGGCCTCCCATTGCCATGGGCCCCCTGTACCACTCCTCATGCTGTGACGTTGCACTTTGAGGTCTCCTCACACTCCTGCGGTGTTAGATCCCACCATTTTGCAACATAGTTGCTGGCAGATTACAGGCCTTCCCTAGGTGCCGCCAGGCCCCAAATCGGCCATGGGCCCCCGCCCCCGTGCCTGGTCACGCTGCTGCTGGTCACAGTGTGACCTGGTCCCACAGTCATGGGTCCCTGACACCTGCCTGCCCTTTGCTCCCCACTCTGCCATGTGCCACTTGAGGAGGTCTCCTCACGCTGCCTGTGAGTTTTTTCCCATTTTTGCTATAGGTTGCTGGCAGATTACATGGCCTCCCATATGTGAACGAGGTCAAATCCCCAAATCGGCCATGGGCCCCCCGTACCGCCTTGCCTGGTCACGCTGCTGCTGGTCCCCACAGTGTGACCTGGGTCCCTGTACGGCCTCCCATTGCTTCCACTCTGCCATGTGCCACTTTGAGGTCTCCTCACACTCCTGTGGTTTTCCATTTTGTCATAGGTTGCTGGCAGATTACAGGCCTTCCATAGGTGCCGCCAGGCCCCAAATCGGCCATGGGCCCCCGTACCGCCTGGTCACGCTGCTGCTGGTCCCACAGTGTGACCTGGGTCCCTGTACGGCCTCCCATTGCTTCCACTCTGCCATGTGCCACTTTGAGGTCTCCTCACACTCCTGCGGTTTTCCATTTTGACATAGGTTGCTGGCAGATTACAGGCCTCCCATAGGTGCCGCCAGGCCCCAAATCGGCCATGGGCCCCCGTACCGCCTGGTCACGCTGCTGCTGGTCCCACAGTGTGACCTGGGTCCCTGTACGGCCTCCCATTGCTTCCACTCTGCCATGTGCCACTTTGAGGTCTCCTCACACTCCTCCTGCGTTTTCCATTTTGTCATAGGTTGCTGGCAGATTACAGGCCTTCCATAGGTGCCGCCAGGCCCCAAATCGGCCATGGGCCCCGTACCGCCTGGTCACGCTGCTGCTGAGCCCACAGTGTGACCTGGGTCCCTGTACGGCCTCCCATTGCTTCCACTCTGCCATGTGCCACTTTGAGGTCTCCTCACACTCCTGCGGTTTTCCATTTTGACATAGGTTGCTGGCAGATTACAGGCCTCCCATAGGTGCCGCCAGGCCCCAAATCGGCCATGGGCCCCCGTACCTGGTCACGCTGCTGCTGGTCCCACAGTGTGACCTGGGTCCCTGTACGGCCTCCCATTGCTCCCACTCTGCCATGTGCCACTTTGAGGTCTCCTCACACTCCTGCGGTTTTTCCATTTTGACATAGGTTGCTGGCAGATTACAGGCCTTCCATAGGTGCCGCCAGGCCCCAAATCGGCCATGGGCCCCCGTACCGCCTGGTCACGCTGCTGCTGGTCCCACAGTGTGACCTGGGTCCCTGTACGGCCTCCCATTGCTTCCACTCTGCCATGTGCCACTTTGAGGTCTCCTCACACTCCTGCGGTTTTCCATTTTGACATAGGTTGCTGGCAGATTACAGGCCTCCCATAGGTGCCGCCAGGCCCCAAATCGGCCATGGGCCCCCGTACCGCCTGGTCACGCTGCTGCTGGTCCCCACAGTGTGACCTGGGTCCCTGTACGGCCTCCCATTGCTTCCACTCTGCCATGTGCCACTTTGAGGTCTCCTCACACTCCTGCGGTTTTCCATTTTGTCATAGGTTGCTGGCAGATTACAGGCCTCCATAGGTGCCGCCAGCCCCAAATCGGCCATGGGCCCCCGTACCGCCTGGTCACGCTGCTGCTGGTCCCACAGTGTGACCTGGGTCCCTGTACGGCCTCCCTCCCATTGCTTCCACTCTGCCATGTGCCACTTTGAGGTCTCCTCACACTCCTGCGGTTTTCCATTTTGACATAGGTTGCTGGCAGATTACAGGCCTCCCATAGGTGCCGCCAGGCCCCAAATCGGCCATGGGCCCCCGTACCGCCTGGTCACGCTGCTGCTGGTCCCACAGTGTGACCTGGGTCCCTGTACGGCCTCCCATTGCTTCCACTCTGCCATGTGCCACTTTGAGGTCTCCTCACACTCCTGCGGTTTTCCATTTTGACATAGGTTGCTGGCAGATTACAGGCCTCCCATAGGTGCCGCCAGGCCCCAAATCGGCCATGGGCCCCCGTACCGCCTGGTCACGCTGCTGCTGAGCCCACAGTGTGACCTGGGTCCCTGTACGGCCTCCCATTGCTTCCACTCTGCCATGTGCCACTTTGAGGTCTCCTCACACTCCTGCGGTTTTCCATTTTGACATAGGTTGCTGGCAGATTACAGGCCTCCCATGGTGCTGCCAGGCCCCAAATCGGCCATGGGCCCCCGTACCGCCTGGTCACGCTGCTGCTGAGCCCACAGTGTGACCTGGGTCCCTGTACCGCCTCCCATTGCTCCCACTCTGCCATGTGCCACTTTCAGGTCTCCTCACACTCCTGCTGGTTTCCATTTTGTCATAGGTTGCTGTATGGCCTCCCATTGCTGCTGCTGCCTCCACCGCCACACTGTGGCTCCAAACACTGGTTTTGGCCCCGTGACTGGCCAAATGAGTGAAATGTGCGGTGATTCTAAGATCGACGGCACTCATCTGCATGTCATACTGACTGACAGTATTATTTCTCTTCCCCAGCAGACTCCAAGGGCATTTAAATTAAAGGTACAGTGTTCTGCACTAATATTAAGTCTCTCTGAAGCCTAGAAACACCCTTTTTTAAGTTAAATTCACAGCGAATATATTCGACTCGAATCGAATATTGTCCACGAATTCGCCGAATCAGTCGAATCAAATTTTTCAATACTTCGCTCATCTCTATATAATACATAAGGGGGGGGGGGGGGTATGATCTTTATTTATAATACATAAGGGGGATATGATCACCATGTAAAAAACATAAAGGGGATATGATCTCCATGTATAATACATAAGGGGGATATAATCTCCATGTATAAATACACAAGGGGGATATGATCACCATGTATAATTCATAAGGGGGGATATGATCACAATGTATAATACATAAGGGGGGATATGTTCTCCATGTATAAAATACATAAGGGGGGATATGATCTCCATGTATAATACATAAGAGGGGATATGATCTCCATGTATAATACATAAGGTGTGGATATGATCTCCATGTATAATACATAAGGGGGGATATTATCTCCATGTATAATACATGAGGGCGGATATGATCTCTATGTGTAATACATAGGGGGGTATATTATCTCCATGTATAATACATAAGGGGGATATGATCACCATGTATAATACATAATGGGGGGATATGATCTCCATGTATAACACATAAGAGGGGATATGATCTCAATGTATAATACATAAGGAGGATATGATCTCCATGTATAATAAATGGGGGGGATATAAGATCTCCATGTATAATACATAAGGGGGATATGATCACCATATATAATACATAAGGGGGGATATGATCTCCATGTATAATACATAAGGGGGGATATGATCACCATGTATAATACATAAGGGGGAATATGATCTCCATGTATAATACATAAGGGGGATATGATCTCCATGTAAATTAAATAAGGGGGATATGATCTCCATGTATAATACATAAGGGGGGATATGATCTCCATGTATAATACGTAAGGGGGGATATGATCTCCATGTATAATACATAAGGGGGGATATGATCACCATGTATAATACATAAGGGGGGGGGATATATGATCTCCATGTATAATACATAAGGGGGGGATATGATCTCCATGGTATAATACATAAGGGGGAATATGATCTCCATGTATAATTACATGTCTTGGAAATTCGCTTTGAACGAATTTCTCCTTATCGTGAGTACTCGCAGTTGGATGCGTAGAAATCCCCCATAAAGCTGTGCGAATCTCGTTTTACCACGACTGCAGCTAAACTCCATGATTCCTGCCCCTCCAACTGGGTTAGCTATCTTGAGATGTGGGGAAATGGAGCTCCCTATACCCAGGAATGATCAGGCGACACTCTCAGGTTGCTGTTGGAATTCACAAAGAGGGCCGATCCAACCCCAGCCTCCGATTTTTTATTTACAAGCAGACACACGCCCCCCACATGAATAGGTCAATCCCTCCCACAGAACAATGCATGGGGGGATGCCTATACACAGTATGTACATTCCGATTGGAGCGTAGCCTTTCCTCTTATCTATCACCGGTCTCCCCCCATGAGCCCTCTGAGGTCAGCTGACTTCCTCCCCTCCCCCCTTAGCTCTCTATGGAGAGAGCATACTTCCTGTCCTAGCTCCTAGTGGTATGTTAATTCTCTGTATATAAGCATCCCTAGAGATTAAACAATCAGTCTTTATCTGAATGGGCCCGATACGATCTTTATTAAAACACATCCATCGACATACAGTTCAGGTCGGTAGTGGTTGTAGAGATATCCATGAGCGTACATGCCGAGTTCACATTGCCTGGCACCTAGACATATGAAGTCCATGTGGGTACTATGTTGCTGATATGTGGATACAGGCCCGCGGCCTACCACAGGCGGCATTCGAATCGAATGCCGTGGCGGTATACACGCCGGTCTATAAGCGCAGATTATTATTATTATTATTATTACTACGAGTTTATATAGCGCCAAAGGGTTTGCTCAGCGCTGTACAATAGGGGGGACAATACATGGCACAGTACAACAAAAACAGACAGCGTACGAGGGGTAAGAGGGCCCTACTCTTACGAGCTTACAATCTAGGAGGGAGGGGGTAAAGGTACAGTAGGAAGTGGCTGAGGGGGATGAAGTGGTAGGAGGAATGAGGGAGGATGGCCGTTAGGTGAGGGTGGGGTAGGCTTCCCTGAAGAGATGGGTTTTGAGGGAGCGCCTGAATGTGAATAGAGAAGGCGACAGTCTGATGGATTGGGGCAGTGAGTTCCAGAGGATGGGGGAGGACCTGGAGAAGTCCTGCAGTCGTGCATGGGAGGAGGAGACCAGGGAGCAGGATAGAAGGAGGTCCTGTGAGGAGCGAAGGGCACGGGTAGGGTGGTACCTGGTGATCAGGCTGGTGAGGTAGTCAGGGGCAGTGTTGTGAACGGCTTTGTAGGTCAGGGTAAGGAGTTTAAATTTGATGCGTTGGGCAATCGGGAGCCAGTGGAGGGAGAGGCAGAGGCAGATCTGCCATCTCATCCATTACCGAGCTGAGTACTGTAATACATACATTGCAAATGCGCATGGCCCAATTCCAGCCTTCAGAGCTTTAATTAAGCCACACGAGAGACATATGAATAACACGAATATATGACACATTTAAAGTTCAACCAAAAATACAAAATTTCCATGACATACATAAGGGGGGATATGATCTCCATGTATAATACATAAGGGGGGATATGATCTCCATGTATAATACATAAGGGGGGATATGATCTCCATGTATAATACATAAAGGGGGGATATGATCTCCATGTATAATACATAAGGGGGGATATGATCTCCATGTATAATACATAAGGGGGATATGATCTCCATGTATAATACATAAGGGGGATATGATCTCCATGTATAATACATAAGGGGGGATATGATCTCCCTGTATAATACATAAGGGGGATATGATCTCCATGTATAATACATAAGGAGGGGGGGGGGGTGTATGATCTCCATGTATAATACATAAGGGGGATATGATCTCCATCTATAATACATAGGGGGGATATGATCTCCATGTATAATACATAAGAGGGGATATGATCTCCATGTATAATATATAAAGATCATATCCCCCTTTTGTATTATACATGGAGATCATACACCCCCTTATGTATTATACATGGAGATCATACACCCCCTTATGTATTATACATGGAGATCATACACCCCCTTATGTATTATACATGGAGATCATACATCCCCCTTATGTATTATACATGGAGATCATATCCCCCTTATGTATTATACATGGAGATCATATCCCCCTTATGTATTATACATGGAGATCATATCCCCCCTTATGTATTATACATGGAGATCATATCCCCCCTTATGTATTATACATGGAGATGGAGATCATATCCCCCCTTATGTATTATACATGGAGATCATATCCCCCCCCTTATGTATTATACATGGAGTATGTATTATACATGGAGATCATATCCCCCTTATGTATAATACATGGAGATCATATCCCCCTTATGTATTATACTTATCCCCTCTTGTATTATACATGGAGATCATATCCCCTCTTATGTATTATACATGGAGATCATATCCCCCCCCTATGTATTATACATGAGATCATATCCCCCTTATGTATATACATGGAGATCATATCCCCCTTATGTATTATACATGGAGATCATATCCCCTCTTATGTATGTATTATACATGGAGATCATATCCCCCCTTATGTATTATACATGGTGATCATATCCCCCCTTATGTATTATACATGGAGATCATATCCCCCCTGATGTATTCTACATTAAGATCACCCCCCTTATGTATTATACATGGAGATCATATCCCCCTTATGAATTATACATGGTGATCATATCCCCCCCTTATGTATTATACATGGAGATCATATCCCCCCCTTATGTATTATACATGGAGATCATATCCCCCCCTTATGTATTATACATGGAGATCATATCCCCCCTTATGTATTATACATGGAGATCATATCCCCCCCCCCCCCCCCCCCTTATGTATTATACATGGTGATCATATCCCCCTTATGAATTATACATGGTGATCATATCCCCCCCTTATGTATTATACATGGAGATCATATCCCCCTTATGTATTATACATGGAGATCATATCCCCCCTTATGTATTATACATGGAGATCATATCCCCCCTCATGTATTATACATGGTGATCATATCCCCCCTCATGTATTATACATGGTGATCATATCCCCCCTTATGTATTATACATGGAGATCATATCCCCCCTTATGTATTATACATGGTGATCATATCCCCCCTTATGTATTATACATGGAGATCATATCCCCCTCTTATGTATTATACATGGAGATCATATCCCCCCCTATGTATTATACATGGAGATCACACCCCCTTATGTATTATACATGGAGATCACACCCCCCTTATGTATTATACATGGAGATCATATCCCCCCTTATGTATTATACATGGTGATCATATCCCCCCTTATGTATTATACATGGAGATCATATCCCCCCTGATGTATTCTACATTAAGATCACCCCCCTTATGTATTATACATGGAGATCATATCCCCCTTATGAATTATACATGGTGATCATATCCCCCCCTTATGTATTATACATGGAGATCATATCCCCCCCTTATGTATTATACATGGAGATCATATCCCCCCCTTATGTATTATACATGGAGATCATATCCCCCCTTATGTATTATACATGGAGATCATATCCCCCCCCCCCCTTATGTATTATACATGGTGATCATATCCCCCTTATGAATTATACATGGTGATCATATCCCCCCCTTATGTATTATACATGGAGATCATATCCCCCCTTATGTATTATACATGGAGATCATATCCCCCCTTATGTATTATACATGGTGATCATATCCCCCCTTATGTATTATACATGGAGATCATATCCCCCTTATGTATTATACATTAAGATCACACCCCCCTTATGTATTATACATGGAGATCATATCCCCCCTTATGTATTAT